GGCACCCTTCCCCACGGAGAGTTGTGCAAGGATAACAATCGTACAAAGGGCACACTCGAATAGCATCACTAAGTTGCACAGTGGCTTAGCATAGTCACCCACTGGACTTTTTTGAGTGAGGCCCCCTTTAATTCTTGGCCTCTTAATTGGACAAAACACTAATGTACAGGAAAATATTTCGGACTGTCAATTGAGACCACTACCACCCTCACCACCCTCCACTCCATTTCCTTGTTCTTGCTCCATTCAGGAGGCAGGGACACTATTCCTCATTCATCTCCTGGAAGGATGAGAAAATCCAGCAGGACTCAGAAATCAAGAGGGGGCAACTCCTGGCTCTTGAGTTCTAAAAGCTCAGCTCTTGAGAGGTGGAAAGAACACGAAAGAGGCATAATAGTTTGGGGGGATCATTTAATATGTCAGAACAAGGCTTCCAACCTGAGGCAAGATTAGGATTCCCCAGGGGGCAGGAGTGGGGCAGGTAGGACTTGTACAAAAAGGAAGAAGAGGGTAGCTGTTGTGGGAATTTGGGAAAAGGGGCGGGCCAAAGCCTCCTGGAGATGTGGACATGATGGAAAGCCCCAGCCAGGACAGAGGCAGTCATGCTCCTTTTCCTTGGTAAAACCCCAGGGAAGTCATGGGACTCCAAGTGGCAGGGAATGTCTGGGCAGACAGGCCTGAGTGCCTCACGGAGTTCCTCAGGGCCCAGTGCAATGCTCTGAAAGTGGAACACACACACACACAGAATGGTTGTATGGGCACTCAAAGTATGGTTGCTACTGAACACGTATTGCTTTTGCACCATCATAAAGTCAAAAAATCATAAGGTGATCCATTGTAAATCAGGGACCATGTGTACAGGGTTTTGAGAAAAGGAAGGAACTGGGAGGGTACTCAGAGCCTGAAGGTCACAGATGAAAATGGGAGGTTTCAGAGACAACTTCCACCTGCTTCTAAATTTATTGAATAATAATGACAGTTGCTTTTTATTTTTTATTTTTTTTGGCGGTTGGCTGGTACGGGGATTGGAACCCTTGACCTTGGAGTTGTAACATCACACTCTAACCGGCTGAGCTAACCAGCCAGCCCCCTGACAGTTGCTCTTTATGCAGCCCTCCACTCTGTACCAGTGCCTGTACTTAGCACTTTACTTAGGCCATCTCCTTTAGCATTCGGGGTAAAGTGTAGGTCGGTAGCATTAGCCCAGTTCAGAGAGGGGTGGCCAGCCTGGTTCACACTAAGTGCAGCAGTTACAGAGTCGGGACAGGGCCAGAGGTCAGAGGAAGGCAGGTGCTGGGGATGCAGGGTTTGTCCTCATCTGAATTCCTAGCTACTCTTCCATTTGTTTCACGTCTCATTCCTCCCCTAATTTGCTTCGGAGCCTGTAGCCCTGGTTCGAGAATGGTGAACACACAAAGAGGAAAGTGGAGATGGACGGCCACGTTATCCAGGCAGGAGTCGATATAATGCTGGTCCATCCTTAAGCAGCGCAAGACTCTTTTCAAATTCAGGCTGCTTCTCCAGGCCTCCTCTGCCTCTCATTAATTTTTGTAGGAGCTGCTTGTCTTTCTTCTCTCTTGTTCAGTGCCCTTCTAATCTATTTTCCACACGGGCCTTCTCCCTGACACAATTTGATTTCCAGGTTGCTAGCAGGCTTCTCTCTGGCTTTGATTTATGTTCTCCCTCCCTGTGCCACATGTCTTTGCCGTACAGATGTGTCTTTGCTACCTTTTCATATTGCCTTTAAAGACCCACAGATGCTTGGCAGAATGTTGCAGAAATAATGCAGAATAAAAAGACAGTTCTAGGGAGCCTGGCGTCTCAGGCTTGATGTAGGAATGAAGGAAGATTTAGACCTCCTCAGGGTGCAGAGACAGAAAAGTGAAGGGCAGAGTCTCAGCTTTGTATGGAGTAGTTTTTGAACTTTTTTTTATTATTCATTTCAGGCCCTTCTAAGACAGGCAATGACATGGTTCAGAGGTGCAATGGGGAAGATGTAGGAGCTTACCTTCGGGGATATCCCTCTGGCATCTGGCAGCTTCTCGAATTCCACCTTCCCACCCTCGTCCTCCTCCTCACACCTGTCCCCCCACCCCAAAAAGCCATAGGAGGGTCAAGCACCTATAAACCAGAAAGGTTTAACTTTCATGGTTTCATACAGCTGCAGATGCTTTTCAATGTCCTGGTTTTATTATTTTATATTTTATTTATAATCCACTAGTCATTACCCAAACGTCTTTTGCAAACAAATGTTTTTCACCAGGGCCCATGCCTGGAATTGGGTGAAAATTAATTTAGAAACTAAATGGAGCCGGGTGTGTGTGTGCAGGGATGAAATTAACTTCCTTTCATCCCCACTTAGCACAGATTCTTGAGTTTGCTCGTATGTCTTAAACAAAACGCACTCAGAAACTTCAGGTAAGGGAAATGGAAGAGTTAAATTGACAAAGAGGCGTGTGTTCTGTGGCATCGTGGTTATAGGTAAAATTTTGAACAAGCTTGAGAAGTTAAAGGATCCTAACAGTGGCAGTGATAGAGACCTTCTGGAGGGCAAGAAATCACTTAGGAGAGGAACGTTAAAAGTTTGATTCATTAACTGATGTTAGAGGACAGCCATGTGGAGGCTCCAAAGCCAGGCTGCTCATCACCACTCCTGGTCCCTTGATGAGGAAGGGTCAAGAAACAAAAGATCAAGCTAAGTTCCGAAGCCACGCAGGGGCTGGAACCCGCTCGCTCCTATCTTCCATACCTCTTGCTTTGGTATCTTAGCTGCAGGCATCCAGTCTCACAATAATCTTGCAACTCAAAGAGATGGGTAGTTATGCTTCAGTACTTCAAGAAGAAAGGAAAAGCAGCTGACATTCTGGCATTGAGCAGGTTGACCTTCAGCCAAATGGAATGTCCCACTGTGCAGGGTGATATCTTCCTCACCATTTTGGAGAGCCTCAGCAGAGGAGCTGAGGTAGTGGTGGTGGTGGAGAGGGGCAAGGGGAGGGGGATTTTGTGGGACTGCAAAGAGAGGGATGACATCCTGCTTAGTCATTCCCTCAGTGGGAAGAAGGGATGAGGTAGGGCCTGTCTTGGTAGTTACTAGATTACTAGATTGATGCTCTTAGCAGGTTACCTCTCAGCCTATTTTCTGATCTGTCAAATGGGAGAAATAATACGTCCATCCATTCAAAAAGTATTTGAACCGAGAGACGAGCTGGGAGGACATGGTGCTGATCCACATGAGAGGTGATGGTCTGGGACAGGGAGGTAGTGGTGGAGGTGGATGTAGCAGTACATTCTGGATATATTTTGAAGGTGGTGTGGATAGGATTTTCTGATGGATGGGGTCTGAGTGGGAGAGAAGGAGAGGCGTCAAGGATGACTCTAAGTATTTTGGCCTGAACAACTTATTTTTATGCCCAAAGTTGTTGTGGTTGTTACGCGATGTGAAAGTGGGGTAGAATACTGTTGCTGAGCCTGGGCTCGGATCCTGGCTCCACCACGTACTTGCTGTGTGACCTTGAGCAGCGTACTTAACCACCTTGTCTCAGTTTCTTTGCCATTTGGTGGCTGCTATGGGTTGAATGTGTCCCTCCAAAATTCATGTATTAGAAACTTCACCCCCATTGTGACAGTGTTAAGAGGGTGGGAAATCCAATTATGGTATTTGAAAGGTGGGGGCCTTTGCGAGGTGATTGGATTGTGAGGACTGTGCCCTGGTGGATGGATTAATCCATTTATGGAATGGTAAGTTATCATAGGTGTGGTTCTGATGGCTTCATAAGGAGAGTGAACTTAAAACTTTCATAAGAAAGTTAGCTTGCTTGCTTTGTTTTTTTTTTTTTTTGTTTGTTTTTTTATGGCTGGGCAGTAAGGGGATCAGAGTCCTTGAATTTATAACACTGCAGGACTCTAAGCTTGCTTGCTCTTTAATTCTCTCTCTTTTTTAAATTTAAGTTTTAAAAAAATTTTATGGCTGGCCAGTACAGGGATCTGAACCTGTGACCTTGATGTTACAAGGCTGTGCTCTAACCAAGTGAACTAACCAGACAGCCTCTTGTGATTCTTGACATGTGACACCCTGCATTGCTGTAGGGAGGCACCACTAAGAAGAAGGCCCTCACCAGGTATGTTCCCTGGACCTTGGACTTTCACAGCCCTCAAAATGGTAAGAAACAAACCTCTTTTCTTATAAATTACCCAGTTTCAGGTATTCCATTATAAGGAACAGAAAGCAGACTAATACAGTTGTAATAACACTATCTACCTTATGAGTAAGTTAATAAATGTAAAGAGCTTAGAACGGGGCCTGGCATAGGGCAAACCCTATAGAAATGTTTGGTATTGTTATATTAAATGACCCACATGTAACACACATATGTGTATCAATATGGAATAGGAGCTCATCACATTAAAGAAACTCACTAGAGTTCCAGTCAAGATGTCAGAATAGATGGTCCCCAGCATCACTCTCTCCCACAAATCAACCAATTTACAACTATGAAAATGTAACATCAGCCAAGATGGGGCCACTGGAGCTCAGGGGAAGAGGAGGAGAGACCTATGGAACTCATGAAGGTGGGAGAAACCATGATGAGAGAAAGAAAAAACTGCTCAGAGCATTTCGTGCCATGGCCACTTTAAGGCTGGAGCTGCTGAGCGAATGGAGCAGGAGCCGGCAAATGCCACAGCTGTGCCCTTCAGATGGAGTTACTTGGAGGCTGCAGGGGAGAAGAGGGCCTTGGTGGCCCCCAAGACAGCAAGACTGTTAATAGGGTTCCCGTGGACCCACACAGGAGCGAGGAGCCAGAACAACTGAAAAAAGGGAGCCATTCAGAGGCCAGTGAGTCATTGCAAGGGACCAGTGCAGGGCCTATCCCATGGGAAATGTTTGGAGCACAGGCGGTGGGGGAGATGGGCCCACTGGGAGAACACTGGGACACAGCAAGGACAGCTGATCCACCCCCCAATCAGCACAGGACCACTCAGAGGAGACTGGTCAGGAATGCAGAATTGCATGGGGTGCAGTTTGATGAAAAAACTCAGGCCCAGATCAGAGATTCTACAGAACACTGATCCACCGGGTCTCTGGAGAGCCAGAAGTACCTATAAGGTCAACATTAAACCCTGAGCTGCACAAAAAACCTTCCCTAGGGAAACAGCAGCAAAGTAGCAATTTAAACAACCACACGGCTCGAGTACTGGTTTCCACAGGAAATTCCCCCATTATAGAAGTAAGCAAAGGACAAAAAATTAGTTTTGGCCCAGGCACACCACCAGGGCCTTGGGGCCTGCCCGGGAACCAGAGGCTTGGAGCCAGGGACTGGACCCAACTCCTACAACCAGGCACACCATGCCAGTGCCTTGGGGCCTGCCTGGGAACCCAAGGCATGGAGAAGGGGACCAGACCTACTTGCCACAGCCAGGCACACTGCGTCAACACCTCGGGGCCCCAGGGACCCAAGGAATGGAGAAGGGGAGTGGATCCCCATTGCACAACCAGGCACACCACGCCAGTGCCAAGGAGCATGTCAAAAATATCACCTCCATGTGGGTGGCCCACCACAGTCACCACAATAACCATGGCTGCCGTGAAAGCAGCTAGACGCCACAACCACCATGAGATGGTCCGCCAGCCACTGGAGTGCATTGACACAAGGATAGTCACCAGCAGAGATAAAGAAAAGAAGAGGACGTCTCTCTCCACAAAGCCCATTTCAGAGTGACAGAAGAAGCATCTGCTCTATGATAATATTGGGGGACCTGATCACATCTCTCAGCATTGGACAGATCATCTAGGCAACAAGTTAACAGAGTAACCAATATTCTTTCAGAAGGAGAGAAGAAATCTAGGGCAGTTAGAGAGGGCAAGGGGGAGGGAGAGGGGGATGAGGAGAGACTGGACAAGGGGCATAAAGAATAATTATGATTTGTAACAATATATATGCTAGTAATATTGATTTGATCAACATATCTCAATGTTGAACCCCCAAAAGATGTATAAATAATCAATTTTGGTTCAATAAATAAATTTTTAAAAACCCCAAAACTTACTAAATGGTTAGCTGCTATTGTTAAGATTATATAACATAATTTAACACAGCATCAGAATAGGTGGAAGTTACGAGTATTTTAGGGGACTTTCATTTGCATTTCTGTGTTCCTGCTGTAGTCGGAGCTGCCTCGAGCTCTGGGTACCTTTATGATGCTTTTCCTCTTCCGTTCCCCCAGTGACACTCAGCTCAGTGAGAGGTGGAGGACCATCTCATGAACCTCTGCTCTGGCCTCGCTTCTCAGTCCTTCCTGGGTATTTTTACCTGGGGATCGTCCTTGCTCCCCAAAGTTGAGAGCTCCCAAACCAGACCCATCCTCTGCCCCTGCTCCACCACACTTCTGCCCTTTATTCAGGCAGGGGCCTCCCCTCTGTGGTAACCAGCTGGCTCGAAGCTTTCATGTCTCCTTGCCCAGCTTTCTCACCTTTGCTTTCCACCTTGGCAGGGGCCTCTCCATCCTGGGAGTCTGGGTGAGGTTTTTTCCAAGTGACACACTGCGCATCCTTCTCTCTCATGCCTCGCTCCAGTAGCTCGCTGAGATAATCACACTAGCCTTGTAGTCTGGCCTCCCTGCCTCTAGCCTCTCCCCTCTAAACCCTACCTTGGCCAAATGAACCTTCAGGGAGCGTTTCTGTCCACCCCATGGACAACTGCCTAGTCGCAGTCACCATGGTCTCACCTGGCAGCTGTGGAAGCCTCCATAGCTGGCATCCCAGAGCTGCCATGCTCCCAGTACACTCCCCACACTGTGTCCAGGGTGATGCTTCCCAGTTGTAGACGGGATCGGGTCGTCCCCCAGCTCGCCAGGGCACTTAAACCCAGGCTCATTGCCACAGCTCACAAGGCCAACTTGGACACGCCTGTTTCCCTCTGTGCACCCACTCTGGGCCCCTCCTCTTACACCAGCTTTTCTCCAGTCTCTCCCCCCACCCCAAGCTTTATTGAGGTATAATTGACAAATAATAATTGTATATACTCAAGGTGTGCAATGTGATATTTTGATGTCTGTATGCATTGTGAAATGATTACCACAATCCAGCTAATAAACATACCCGTCACCTCTCATACTTATACCAAGTTTTGTGTTATGGGAACATGTAAGATCTACTCTCTTAGCAAATTCCAAGTATACAGTACAGTATCGTGAGCTATAGTCTCCAGAATGTATTCATCCTGCATAACTGAAGCTTTGTACCCTTTGACCAACATCTCCCCAGTTTCTGGCAACCAACCTTCTACTCTGTGCTTCTATGAGTTCGATTTTCAGTCTCTTGAGCTCCACAAACTCCTGTCTTCTTGAGGGTCTTTATGTGAGCATGCAAGTTTTGTGTCCTGAATCTTCACTTGGCCATCACCCATGCATCCTTCAGGTCTCAGTTCTAATGTCATTTCCTTAGAGAGGACTTCTCTGATCCCCGAACTCCATCAAGTTCCCAACCCCTCATTATTCTCTAAGAGGATCCTGTTCTTTTTCTTCATGTGCCTAATCATGATTTTAAATCAGGTATTTATTTGTACGTATATTTCTTTATTGTCTGTCTCTCTCCTGACTGCTGTAAGTTCTGCGAGAACAGAGCCAATGTGTGTTTTTTCACCTCTGTGCACCCAACATCTGCCACATGGCACAGATAGCATGCTAATATTTTTTAATGAGACTGTTGAATAAATAAAAGAATAAATGAGCATCACTTCTCTGCTCAGACACCTTCTTTAGTTCCCACTACATCAACCAGAGAAGGAGCTGGCCAGTTAGCTCAGCTGGTTAGAGCACAGCCTTATAACATCAAGGTCATGGTTTGGATTCCCATACCGGCCAGCCGTCCCCCCCAAATAAATAAATAAGCCAGAGCAGTCCACGTTCTTTAGTTTGGCACATAAGGACCTGGTTTAGCTTCCAAATCTTGATTCTCATTATTACCCTTCACAAATCCATGCTTCAGAAACACAAAAGTCCTTACTGTTTCTTCTATAGGTCCTGTACTTTTCTGCCTTGATGACATGACTTTACTGTTGCTTAAAATATTTCACGAATGAATGAATGAATGAATAAATGATTGGTCCTAAATCATGCCGAGTCTTCAAGGCTCACATCCAACTCCACACTCATGAAGCCTTTCATATGCCCTCCAGCTGGAATTAATTTTGCCTTCTGGCCTTCAGAGCATTTTACCGTAGCAATTAAACACATTTGTTGCTTTCTGCCTCTTTAGAGTTTCTTTCTGCATGTCTGCTCTTCCCTGTTAAACCGCAAGTTTCTTGAAGGCAAGATCTATGCCCTGATCACTTTTTTATCTGCCACCATGAGCCTACATACGTAGCAAGTGCTCAATGCAAGTAAACAAGAAATTATTGTGGATTACTGATTCAAAGTGATCATGATGTTGCAAAGAATTTAAATGGTAGTTCCCTCTAGAGACACATGGGGGTGGCCTAACCAAGCAAAGCTGCACGCTCTCTCCTAGACAGATTAGTTTCTAAGCTATTTCAAAGATGATGGGGCCCCTTTTGAATTTTGTCTCACTGGTCATATTGACCAGCTGTGGATGACAGGAAAGAAATGTAAAGGATGATTTAATGGGCAAAATAAAAGAGTTAGTAAATCAAATCCAAAGACAGCGTCTGTTCACATAGAAAAAGCAAGACACACACAACACCTGCTTTCTCTGAACGAGGGGTGCTGTGATCCCAGCCGTGGACATGACATTGACACTGTGGACCTCCAGACGAAGAAGGGCTGGGGGCTGTGTGTGGGGAGGGGCTGCCTTTCAAGGTCTTTCCTCTTTTGCGGAGAAATTGCTATTTAGATGAGAAAATCCTGGAACATAAGTTGGGAAGAGACAGTAGGATTTCAATTCCCCCATTGGATCCTCTGATTTTTGCTTTCTTAAAGTATATGAGGTGTTTTGAAGACTTATCGCACTTGTAATAAAAAAGCAACGCCATTCCCTTCTTTCAAGTGTGTTGGTGGCAAATCTCTTTCATTAGTTGGTTTGGACCAGAGTTTTATTTCTATTCTTGAATGTAATCCTGCCATTATTATTATTATTACTATTATTATTATTATTGCAGCTAGCTGGTATGGGGATCTGAACCCTTGACACTTATAACACTGTGCTAACCAGCTGAGCCAACAGGCCAGCCTCTGCCATTTTTAGTGGTGGGACGTTATGTGGGAAATGGGATGTGACAGCTCTTTCACTTGAGCTAAATTGATTTTTTTTTTCTTACTATTGGTCTAAAAGTACAAAGCACTAAATGCAATGAACACAGGGATGACTGTACAACAATAGCCACATACACTACTACCTGGGGCACTTTGACATGCCCGGATTTCCGTGTGTCAAACCATCACTTCCCTGATATGTCTTTGCTTTCCCGTGCTGCTATAAGACCTTTGGATTTTTAAATTTACATGTTTACTTATTTGAATACAGTGAATTGCATGTTGAATGAACTGAAGTTGAATAAGCTGAAGAAATTGGCAGAACTGAAAGGCATGTAGTGAACCAACGTCTAAGGCACAATTTAAGGTGGTTTACAGGCTGAAATGTAAACTCCTTCCCTTTCTCCACCCTCCACCCACAGATGCTTTGTGCTAGAGGGTCTCCTTCCCTCGCTCTCTCTCTCTTTCTGTGTCTATACATAGTCATATTTTTGTATAAATTAAAGATGGGATGGAGTTTCACATCTTGGTCAATATGGTGCAGTCATAATAACATACCTTTTCCTTCGTCCTCACACGTGGCAATCGTAGTAATCTCAGGAAGAGCCTTGAACTTCCGCAACCCATGGAACTGGTGAGGAGGGATCAAACCAAGT